GTGATGATCACTTGGAACAAAATTGCCAAGATTTGCTGAAGATTGCTCATAAATCTTTGAGTGACTCGTTTTCTATAATCCTTTAAGTAAATCTAGCTCTACATTATTCCTATTAAGAAATTACTGAATGCTTAGTCCTTAAAATCTCTCCCTGTACACCATTTTCTTCCATTTTCTCCATATTCATAACCACTTCGATTTATTGCCATTTAATAAGCGATTGGTTAAGTAAACGACTAATAGCTTTTAATGATATGTATATTCACTTGCAGAACGCGTTAGATTCTAACTAATGAATAAGTAATGAGAGGACTGTAACATCTTTATTCGATCCTATCCCCAAAGTATTCCATGGCTTCTAACTGAATTATACGAAAGTAGAGTTTGTTTTGGATGATCGTTTCAAGCAGCGAACAGTTGCTATCTGTTTTGTTTCTACGTAATTTTCAGAACCGTCTGAATAATTGAAACCACTTAAAGCACATGTTAGCTCACTTTTTCGTCACAGAACAATTTGAACGAAAAAAAAACGTTCAAGAAACCTCTGAAACACTTCGACTATGAATTGCACATTGTCATATAAATTATTATAGATGTAATGCTTGTGTGTAACTTTCGTTAATCACTTAACTTTTGTTTTCCATTTTCATGATATCGCAGAGTTCTACGATCTACCTCAGAGAATCACAACAAGATTTTCTCTTTGAAAAAAACCTAATGAGTTGTTGTATAACAATAAGTTTCTTCACTATTTTTATTGTTCTGGGTGCGCCTAGGACTCTGTAGCATTTTAGTTGCACTATTTATTTCTCAAACTTCATTGATCTGGCGGCTGTCCAGCAAGCTCCCCATAGTGTAAATGAGATGATGTGCCTGATTGCACATGAAATTTTCGGCTAGTAAAATAGCTATGGAATACTGGATGGGACCAAATCGAATGTGAAATAGTAATCGCTAAGAGTTGGACTATACAAACAGATTAATTTCACTGCGGTAATACAATGATTTCTTTACTCGTCAGCATTTCAAACCGTCTATTCTCTTAAGACTATGCGTGTTACTTAGCCATAAGTAAATCTGAAAAGAATGAGTAAATAATAAATAAGTAAATCTAAATCTTTAAGTAAATCTAGCTCTAAAGCTAAGAAGAAGCCCAGTTTTCCATCAGAAAGCCTAGCTAGGAGTAAACCAATACCAGGATCCACCACCGTCCTGGTGTCAAAATCGCATGGTGGTAAATTTCCCTCTGATCCACAAGGGCTGGGACTGTCCGTGGTGGTGAAGACCTAGGGCGGACTTTGGCCAGGCTGACCTCGGGACTCCAGAGAACCATAATGGCTTCACCAATAAATTTCCGAAAAATGGAGATTATGCTGGGAGATTATGCACAACCAGTGATAATACAAAAAGGCTTATTTTTTATGTGATATCTGAAACTCTGAGCCACACTGGTTAGGCGATTTCGTAAGAGCATACTAAAAAAACTGCTGATGGCGGTACATTTATTTACTTCTTACACCAAGAATGCTTGTCATTGCAAGTTAAACTTTAAAAGCACGTTATAAGAAATGTTTGATGCTTACATGCTGCCATTTTAGAACTTATTTTTAGTACACTAATTGAAGGAAAAACACGAATTTCTTCATTGTAAGCTCTGGTTTAAAATTAAATGAACTTTGCAAAACACTTCAGTGTGTGTTTCTATCATTGTTATCAACAAGGGCATAAGATACAAATCTATTAAAAAGCGAAGCCCAACGTAGAAGTTCTGTTGTAGAATTAAAATGACGTGGACTACGAAGCTCTACGGCATTCACCATATTTAAACTAAACCAATACTAATTTTTCAACCATCCACGGAGCTATTCTTGAGCAAAAACCTCCAACAACCGAGCTACTGTTAAAGATGTCCTCGAAAAGTTTGTCTCTTCCAGAGATTCAGAGTTCTATGTGCTACTGGAATAAACAAGCCTGTATTTTTCTTTCCTTTGCAAGAAAATGTGGCGGTTCTCATTTCGACGATTACTGGATTGTTGTTTGTGCTAAGTTGTAGCATTTCAATGTCGCTGTTTAAAATGGCCGCTATTTTTGCATTCGCAATACAACTGTCTTTGAATACACATGTGTGATCACTTAATTGAATTATGAGATTGCGAAAGTCGACGAACAACGCATGAGGGGGATGAGTGCATGATTGAATGCACGTCTGGCTTGCACGTTGCATGTGGTAGCCTATTGATGTATCAAGGCGATCAGTGTTTTTCTCTCCTCGAAGACAAATCAGATAACAATTTTTCAACCTCCGACGAATGATAGACTAGGTGAGCACGGGGCTGAGATCGAACCAACGACAAAGTGCGAATTGGTAGGCAACTCTAACGACTACGCTATGTATGACAGGCGATGTTCCATTATTCTTAACTATTCATCCCAATTTTGTCGACTTTCTTAGAATCACAAAGCAGTAGCAACTACCTGCTTTCGTTGGCAAAATTAGCCTATAAAATTAATGTTTATTTGAATGAGAATGCGCAAAATGTTTTATTTGATCTGTTATTGGTACGAACTACAGTAAAATGGGGTAATAGTATTTTTCACACCAGAAAAATTGGTAAACAGTGCCGATTAGTATCGCATGCTTCATTTTGTTTTAGTGTTCACAAGAGTTAAATTCAACTAGGGCTAAATTGCATGAGAAGTGTTGCTACTACTAACTCGGTTTTAACTGAGCTATTCAGTATTTCTTGCGTTACATTGGTGTTCTCCTTAAATTGAACTTGTTTAAAATATTTTCTCATAGCTATGTCATATGAAAATTATAAAAAAGGCTCGAGAATATTTCTTGTACTTCCCAGCACAGCTTAAGACACTTATCTCATTCATTAGGTGCTTCCATACATCGTAATTGTTCATTGCTTTTGGAAATAATTGGTAATGGATGCTATAATCAAAGACAAACTACCCTACAGTGATGAAAAAGATGTCTGTTGCTAGATGGAAACTCGTTGCAGATAATGCAACCTATCCTTCCTGCGAGTCCCATAAACTACCCATAATTTCTACAGAAACTTTTGCAGAGCATAGAATATGGACCATTTTCTAACTTGTGCAAAGATCGATTCAGTTAATCTCGAGCGCTGAATCAGGAAGTTACAGTGTTGTTGAACGACTTTGTTATCACAACGTTTATTTCACAATGGCTTACCTTTCTGCTGACTCTGCTTACTCGAATGAGTGGAGCGGAACGAAATCGCTGTCCTCGGAACAGAACAAACATTTCCATTTAAGACGTGAATGAAATAGATTAGTGTAACGAAGTTGATAGCAATCATAGAACTGTAAGAATGCCACTGAACACCCTCAGACGTTAATTAATTTGCAATCCACTCCACGAGAAGCACAAAATTCCGTGAATTACCCTGGATTTTCTGGTTTGACCAGTCTTCATTTGTCAGCTTCAAGAGAGCTCTCTGAATGTGGTTTAACGTCCGGCAAAGTAGGCCACAAAAAAAATTTTCTTTGAGACCGTTACAGAAGTTTTACAGATGCTTTTATTTGGCAACCTATGTGTTCACATGACCCATTCCGAGCTTTGAAGAAGGCGAAATATATATTAACGTGTCACCCAAACAGATATAAACTTTGCATTAAAATCTCTTTTTATCTCATCAAGAATAATTAGTGATTTTTTCGCTGTTGTTGCTTTGTATGATTGCAAAGACGACACGTATATCAGTGAACGTAGCCTATTCACCAGAGATGCACTTGCCTCTTTCGTTTCATCATCAGAGATTTTCTTTCGAATATGTTGAATTCAATATTTTCATCTAAACGCTCGTTAAAATGTGGAATTAGTTGGAGTAGTATTAGTTCCTAGAGAAAATGGAATGCACTGTGTTTACGAAATATCAATTCTTTATAGAAAAATACTAGGTAGGAGAGCTGAAATATTATCGAAGTTTTTCTAAAGCGAAAATATTCCCAAATGAGACAAGAACCATGGTTAAGTGACACGGACGAAACAGATCTGTTTCCAGCAATCAATGTACATATCTATGCTTTCTAGTAGTGATACCTTAGTACAAGGCGCGTTATTGGAAATCATAGCACTTGCCGGAGGCACGCCGTTCTCTCACTGCTGCGTTATGAATTGTCTTTAAAATACGTGCTAGCTCTCCTATTTCTCATTAACATTACCAAACAAAACGAGTTAGTTCGGCGGATATCGTCTAACTCATAACAAAGCCGTGTTTTCAATTATTTATTATCCTTGAACGCCACATGCCCTCATGTTTTTGTTCGTTGGCTTGTTCATCACTGTTCGGCAGAAGGAACTGGCCGCTAGCAGGCGCCTATGTGTCTCTTTATTATCACCTACCTAGTTCTCATTCGCTGGTTTTAGAATGACTGATGTTATGGAAGACTTTTCTACAATGCTATTTAATACAACAATATGTGTTCCTTATCTCTGATTTTGCTACCGTTGATCACTTGGCGAAATTCAACCGTTCCGATGTACCAAACACACAACTAAGGAAGCACTATGAACAACCAAACGATAGTTTGGACAACCATCCTCGCAATGCTGTATGGTATTGCAATTGATATGAAACAACCAGCAAGACGGTTTGACACACAAATCGTCGGATGATTCCTTTTAGTAATCTCGTCAGTTTTGCATACTTCTCACATTTTCGTATATCTTGTTCTTTTCGGAAATTTACATTTATGATGCTCGAAATCCACGTTTCATAATAAGAATAGGTTTTAGATATGAAAAACTTAAATCTTTAAATGTTGTCTTTCGAATTTCTAATAAATGTAGGCTGTATAAGGAAGCTAAGGCTGCGTTTTTCGTTCAGTGTAATATCAACATATTTCATTGTTATTACAAATCATTGCATTTCCTGTTCCTATGACACCGCTACCCAGTTTCACAACACACGATTATCTCATCTTGGTAAACAACTATTTGATCAGCAGCATGGTTTTTTCAAGGGATGCTCACAATTCTGTGCCTCATCATCCTATTTGGAAAAAGTGTTCCGAAGGATCCAATTGGTCAGAATGTTATTGTTCTACTGATTGATGGTTACGGCGCTAGTCTATTAAACGAATCAAAGCCGGAAACGAAAATCGGCAAGTTTTCATTTGGTTTAGTAACACTCATAAAATGTCAAATCTTAAAAGTTGCAAAAAGCAGTTATATATAACATTCTATATAGATTCTAGATAACAGAAAAGATCTTTATTGAGAGCACATTTTCAGGAAAGAATAATTTCCAACCCGACATCGCCCTTATCGAGAGTCCACGTACTATCCACCGCACCAAGTCACAGCACCAATGCTCACGTATCAGCATCCTTGTAATTGTAGTTGACATTGGACTGTGCCATGCCAAAAGAGTAGGCAGCAAATGAAAGTAGAAAAGACATTGCAATCCCGAATGAAGCTTCGGCTTAATCATTTTCGATGCCAATATGTGCTCCTGTGCTCCCCAGATCATTCCCGCTTACAGGTGACTGCTGAAAGCAGCGTTAGAGTTAAAAACATGACTAAGGGAAAGGAAAAACAACGGCCTCGGCTGGTGTGGTGGGTACAAGTGAGTCTGCGGAAAAGGTGACCGGTGTTTCGAAGCCCAAATGAAGAACTGGATTTTGCTCCTATATTGGCATCCTTGGGGTTTTAAAAGTTAATGGTCCAAATAAAAATGGCAGACTTTGCCATGGAACATTTGTAGCCTATAGTTTCTATTACTGTTGCAGGTATGCAACATCTCATTTCACACGGGGTTCAAGCAGAATACCTTCGATCTGCATTCCCTACACAGAGTTGGCCAAACTGGTTAAGCCTTGCGACAGGTAGCTTTTAAAAAATGAAAAAGTGTCATTATTATATTCAAGGGTCTTAAATTCCTTTTCCACTCCAATATGGCGATTGTTGAACACATAATGGCTAGAAAGACATGTGATAGATGCTCATTTTCCAGGAACGTTTTCCTAATTCAAATTGTGGAAATGTGTTTGTTTTAATGAGCTAATACCATGCGTAGAAGCTAGACGATCATGTTATTCTTTGTTTCCTTTCTTATTGTGCTGTGATGAGTGGTTTTATCTGTTTAGGCAATAGCTCATTTTCTTTGTAGAACTAAATTCATTCTGCTTTTTTTTGCAAGTGTCACCAACGAGGATGTTCCGCGTAACTAGTTGTCTTTTAGATCTTGGGTTCACGCAGTGTGTTCCCAGTCCCGCTTTCCTATTGCATCCAGTTCTGCATTTTTCTTAACATTCCACCAAATTGCCAAATATTTTTACAAATCGGTTGGCGTTAGGCTCTAACTCATTAGTTTTCAGGTTATGATATTTGGCACTTTTTGTAGGACACGCTCCAAAGAGACAAGTTTGAGGATGAGTGTATTTGCTCAACATAAAAATTCTAGGGGTTGTGAAGATGGTCCGTAGGGTGAAAAACATTCTCGAAGTTATGCATTACTCCCCAGCCAAATGAAATACCATGCACTATCATGCAATGAAACATCGAAAATAATCCCTATGTGGTCAGTTTTCGTACTGACAATAGGAAGTTGAGTCATTTCTAATAGAGTATTTAAAATATTCAAAGATGGGTTCCTAATGGCATTGTGAAGTTGTTGTTTTGAAGTCTTCCATTTTTTGAGAACAGCTTTTTCGCTCAATAGTAGTTGCTCAAGGAAATAATTTGATTCCACCCGTCAAACAACTGCAGGTTACACTGGAAATTCAAGACCTCTGAAATGTTTTTATGGATCCTCATGAATAACCAGAATTTTTACATTTGGCTTTCGATCCTCCGTTCTGCCTGCTGTTTCTCCTAAAACGGTGGAAAAAATAGTTGTGTGTTCTGATGTATTATGCAGAAATTTCCGAAATTTACCTGACGATATAATGTTCACACAGTCATCACATGATCTGTCGTACCCACGACGTCTTTTTCCATACAACGGAGAAAATTTTCACTGCCAGCTGTTGCCAGTTTTCCATAGGAATTTGCTAATTATTGAATCCACTATTAGGTGATGATGTACTATCACAGCCTACCCTTTGTCTTTAGTTTTCTTTACAAATATTCGTGAAGTTGTGCGAGGACACTGCCGTATTCTCATCACCGAGCTGCGCCTTTGCATTCTCGAAAATGTTGGATTCGTTTTCAACACCTTTAGTGATCCTAAGAGGTTAACATCGGCTATCTATAGAAGTTCACCTTTTTGGACGACAAATCCTTCCAGCGATGATAAACATTACCAAGATAACGTGCCCTAACGTTACTATATTTGTTACTCTAAACTCGCTTATTTCTAGGGCCTTTACGAACATAATAAGTTGTGAGTTTATATGTTAGCTTTTTAGAATGAAGTGCAATGTTATCAATAAAATCAAAGTTAATAGCCATTCTATTGGACAGGTAATAATACAAGCTGCCACGCGAGACTTTTAACTTGTGTATTCATAATGCCATGCTTCAAACCTGCGTATTTAGCACTTAGAGCCCGACGTGAGTGGATTTCTTGCATGCGTGAGTCGGCAATTAAACTGGGATGATTGATATAAACTTGCTCTCTTGGCGGTCGTTTATCTTGTTACACAGAGCTTTTTTTGCGCTTTTTGTATTTAGTCTGCAGCTTCTCCAGCAGAGATTATTCTGGTCGCAATTGGAAGCTATCTTAAATAATTAATAACATACAAATAACTGTTTTTGGCAAGTTAATTTCGTAGACGGTTTACTGTTGCTGGTAAAGACAGAAGCCACAAATGGGTTGTTACCAATTAAGAACGAACAGAGAGGGCTTTGCTGCTCTTGAACGCGAACTTTCGGCACAAGGGCATCCTTTCGCTATGAAAAGATTATTACGCTATGAATCAATGAGGAGAAATTTATACATTGAGCTGTAGTATAGCTATATGATCGGAATCGCTAAAACAGCTCGTTTGTAAAAGGGCCAAGCATTCGAAAATGTGTTTTCACGTAATGGATCTCATTACGAACTCTTATTCTCAAAACGTTCTATTCATGTTATAAACATCATGCTCATATCAGTGTCCCGAATTCTTGTAAATGCTTCGTGGCAGCCAACATAGCGCTCTCATTCTTCTATAGAGCCTTAAAATGCTTTTTTTTTCGCAGCTTGTGCTGGTTGATCTACCTTTCGAGCCCTTACCTACTCTTCTTGTAGGCACCAATTAGATTAGTTTTCTTCTCTCAGCCAAGCAAGCATTCGTATACCATTCAACAGTGTTTAGGTGTCCTCCTTTTTCAAACAAATTTTCCATGAGCTCCATAATTATCCAATATCTGTTAGATGCCTGCTGTCGGTACACACTAGAATCCTGTACATGTAACGATCTTCTTATTGATGGAATATGATTCCTCTTCTAAATCGCACAAGGTGATCGTCAGCACACATATTCTTGTCAGATTTTTATATTTCCTAACAGCTTCTGTTAACAAATTAGATAAGTGCCCTTATCCCGTGCAGCCTACCTTGTTCAATGTAGTATGAATTCCTAACGGAATGAAGCAGAGGCAACAGCTTGAAATATTTGTCTCTTGCCATGATTCGAGACTCAAGAGAACAGCATACATAAGCCCTATTTTAACTATGGTAATCTGCTTTCAAACAAACTTTCGAATTTACCGATCTTTCCATCTTTCGCAGTCACAGCTAATTATAGTCATATCCACCGAATCGTCTTTCGACTTGTTTCCAGATACCTAGAAATGATCAACCTTTCTGAATAGGTATATCTTAGGTCGTAGTCAACTTTATTAGTTGAAGAGAAGATATTAAAAACCGATTTTCATACAACCTCGGCAATAAATAGTAATTTTCTAAATAACTGAGCTAACACGAAGTTTGTATAAAACTTTTATTCGGCTAACGTTTCGGCGCCTCCACTTTCTTTAGAGCCGCGTTCACACGAGTCGATAGTGCCAAGCTGGTTGTTCTTGCAATGTTGGTATTCATAGTGGCATCGAATCCAACCGAGTAGAGGAAGCACCGCTCGAATGAAGAACATCACACTGCAGTGCACTTTTGTACAGGACAAATGTTGATCTATTGTCACCAGCTAATATCATCTTTTTGGTGTGTAATGCGACCTGCAGCAGTCGGCAGCTCATTTGCTGGCATATAGCATAGAAATATCTTAAAACCTAACCTTTATTAAACATCGATAACAATAGCCGATCTAGTACAAGACTGAGATCACACGTGGTTGGTATAAAAACTTCTTATTCGACTAACATTCGGAAGTGAAAGTCAATGTAATCCGTAGACCTTCGCAAATAAGGTACTGCTTTTCCTCCTCTATAATTATGAAATTTCTCTGAGTTAACTAAGCCTCTTATTTTTCCGGGATCAGGATATTGCACCGAACTTTCCTTCTAGGAAAAATTTACTCTCTACAATCCAACTGTGAGCGCTCTGCCCCGGCTATCTCAGGACCCCATGGAGAATCGACTATTCCAGCATTCCACGACATTCGGGATGAAAGGAATATCCTTTAGAAACAGCAGTAGCCATACGTTGGAAGACATTCGTAGATGATGGATGCGAAAAAAAAAAGAATCGAATACGAGAAGCATTGGATTCCGCAAAGCAAATGTGGTTATGGGTTATGTAAAAAAATTAAACAAATCTAAAATTCGGTCTCTTTTTGGAGCCCACAAGATGTTTTCTATAGAAGCTCGTGTCTTGGACATTTAAGAAGTTGAACAAGTGAGATTTCTTGACTGGAAAAATGTGTAGAAGAACCGAATTTTTTAGCAAAATACACTCAAACAAAAGGCAAGAATGGAAATCTGAGCTTACAAACTCGAAACTGCAATACATTTGGAAGACAAAACGTACCAGCAAATACCGCTGGGCTTCTCCTTGGTCCTCCTAGGACAACTCAGTAAATTCGTTGGGGCTCATTATTCTAGAAGAAGAAAACTTATTGTTGCACATAGAAATTGCTTACTGAAACCCCTCATGAAAAGATCACTCGTAATGTCACAAGACAAAAGATGTTGAGGCGTTTATACCTGTGCCATGTTACGTTTCTTTGGTGGATCTTGCCTGCTTTTTTACGTGCAGCACTCCATTTGACTATCAGATTGAAGAGAACTCCATCCATCGTTGAGTAACGTTTTGGATAGATGGTTTCAAATCAAAGAAGATTCGAATGAACTACCATGAACAACGACACGCTTGTTAAAGAATTCAAAATTTGCGGTGAACGCGCCTCAGTTGTTCACTTAAGGATTTCCGACCCCATATTTACTACCACGAAAATTTTGACGGGGAAAAGGAGGACGATGGAAATCTGCCTGATACATTCCTATTATAACTTGTGATGCATGGAATGTAAAGTAAAGAAGATTTTTGTGAAAATACATACAGAGAACATGCAGCAAAAAACTGTGGGGTGCACCACAAAAAAGTTGTATTCTAGAGAAATAATGCCAGGAACTCGTATAGTTTAATTTTTCTTTGCTCCTGTACTAGCCCTATCGAAAGAGAATTACTTTGTAAATCATAATGATTTTTCCTGTGAAGCAGGATTCCTAAGTAAATCTGAGAAAATTGATCGCAACAATCATCCCAAGACCGTGTTTTTTTTAACTCGGCACTGATCAGTAATTCACTGTTTATCTCGATGAGCAAACACGAGGCTGATCTAACAGCATTCATTATTTCACAATAGGTGACGTTTCGGCTTGGTTTTGCCTTCTGCCGACTCTGGAATGTTTGAATTGACACGCAATCCACTCAGCCAAACACTTTCATAACCTCAGCATATAAAACCTAGAACATAAATTTTACAAAAAATCAGAGCTCACTTCAAGAAAGATAGAATTAAAACCAAAACTAGAAAGTTTACACTTTAAGTTTTTTCTGCTGAGGTTGTGAAAGTGTTTAGCAGAGTAGATTTCCAGCCATTTCAACCTCTCCAGGCTCTGAAGAAGACAAAACTGTTAAGACATCAACTGTTGTGAATTAACAAGTGCTGTGATAACAACCGCCTGCTTGACCATCATGAAAAAACAGTACTATATCAAGCTTACATTTGGCAAAGAACCGATTAGTTCGAAGCTTTTTAAGGCCATGATTATGTGTTGATGATGAGGATGTTGAAGACGATTGGGCCTACTTGCTGCCGTAAATTTTGGCCAAGTGCAGATTTTCATTAAAGAATATTTATGTAATAACACTTGAAAAAATTATGCTTAGGAGCAAGCGTGGTCATGAAAAGAAAACAATTTTGAAACGGTTTAAAAGTGAATTGGAAAGCCTATGTATACCGTCAGATTTGCACACTTGATTTCTCTCATTTTACAGGACTTTATACGGAAAATCATGGAATGACAGCTGATTACATGTGGGACAAAGAAACGAAGTTCAGCTTTGAACGTGGGAAAGGTACTAAACGGTGATTTACAACGCAATTGACTTTTTCTTTATAAATGAACGTATTCTTTAACATTCACTCCTTCAGTTATCCTCAAAAACCACTAAAATTAGTTATGCGTCTCTAACGAGCAAGTGTCGGCCATTTTTCACTATAACCCAATTCAATATTTTGTCAGTTGGACGTAAGCATCAGCCCCATTGGAGCTATTTTAGTGTGCTTAGCAATAAAAATACCATTAACTCGAAATTTAGCGCACTACCTTTCGAATTAGCTGAAAACCACCTCACCAATGTTGTCACCTATTTTAATATTTTAAAAAGAATTCCTCTCTTCTTTGTCAAACCCTGTTTACTCACTCATCGATACTTTTAAAGCGCACTTTCACAAATCATACAATATTACTGCATTTCTGTTTTTGTATTAATTTTCCATATTCTGTTATTGTAATGATTGAGGTGTGAACGACTCCGAAGACATATGGTGGGATGGTCTCCCAGCACCCCTATGGTACACGGCAGGAAAATCAGGCGTTGATGTCCATTGCTACTGGTTTGCACACTGTCACGTGGGTAACATTGATAAAACATATTCATTCAACCATCACTGCTATACAGTGGTTAGAAAGTTAATGCTGGGCAATTATGGTGTAAAAAAGTAAAAGCTTCCTCTAGTCCACAAAGCTCAGCGGCAGTTTGTGATGAAGAACTAGGAATACGTATATATACATATATATATATATATTCACATACATGTATACATGTATATACACAGACATATATACGCTATATACAAGATATCTATATATAATGCGTCATAATAGGAGGATCAAATAGATGTTTTACATTAATCAGAATAACGACCGTTATAATCTATTCGTTCTTGCCAACAAGATACAAGTTCATTTGTTCCTCTGCGATACAATGGAATTTTAGGCTTTTGGACATTAAGATTTTCTCGGATGTGTTCCAGTAACGTTTTTATGTTGAGAATTTTCGTGGAACTAGTTTACGAGAACTATTATCGTGATGAGAGGTCTACTTGTGCTCACGCAGAGCTTATTTCATTCGATAGAACTGACTGAGAGACAGGCAAAGCGAACGACCCGAGTGGTGTGGTGGTGAAAGCGTAATTCCCCGGAAAGGCTAGTAGCGTGTTTGTTCCCCACCGCAGACACCTGCAGTCCGGAGTTTTGCAAATATCTTAGCATAATTGGGGTTGTATCACACGTAATACTGTGCCATGAAAAATTCTAATAGGCAGTAAAAAAAGGTTAACATTATTAGAAGATTGTTGAGTCGCTATTATCTTCTTCTCTCATGTCTCAAGTGGTTTTTAGAGGGGCACGATTATCGGCATCAAACAGTCTTTGTCGGCAGCGACACCCTGGTCGCCAACGGCGTTCTTCGTCATCGGTGTTTGTATCTATTCTGTTTTTTTAAACCACTCGTCGTTCATATTTACTTTGTGGATCCTAGCGCTTTTCATATTCAATTCGTTTCCTCTCACCCATCATCCATGGAGGTCTTCCAAGTTTTTACGTGTGGTTTCAGCTGCTGCTTAAAGATTTTTCTTTCATCACGAATGTCGTTGAGTGCTGATCGAGTCGATCCTCCCTGGATCCCGTAGATAGCCGGGCAAGAGCTTTCTCACTTTGGTAGCAGAGAGTGCATTTTTCCCAGAAAAGGCTGGCACCAATTTCCCGATCCCAGAAAAATGACAGGCTTAGTGAGACCGAAGCGAGATTGAACTAGGAGCATGCTTAGGGTTCTGAACTACTTCTACATTCTGCATTCCGAAACATTTCCTTGTTTCGTTGAAATTTTAAACTGCTTCCATAACTCGGCGATCATTTGTGAATTTATGAAGCAAAACGACGCGATTTTCATGCTTTTCCAGGTTGGAACAATTTCAAATGAAATATTAGAGAAAATGTGCCATTGATTAGTTAGAGCGTAAATAAGCTTTAAAATTTTATAAAGGTGCAGTGTGAACGGCAAATATTTTTCACGAAATTTATCTACAAATTTCTAAACTACGAAAGCAATCGTTGTTTCGCTCACAAGCTAACATAATAGTTTTTTGCAAAACTCTGAACTGCAGGTGTCTATATGGTGGGGAACGAACGCGCTATTGTCCTTTCCGGGGAGTAACGCGTTCGATAGAACTAGCAGAGAGGCAGGCGAAACGAAGGACCTGCATGGTGTGGTGGTGAGCGTGCTACTCTCTAGGAAGGACAATAGCGCGTTCGTTCCCATAGACAGCTGCGGTCCAGAGTTTTGCAAATATCCTAGCAACGTTGTGGTTGTATTTTTCTTAGTACCTTGCCGTGAAAATTGTAGTCGGCAGAAAATAAAAGGTAAAACATAATAGTTTTTCTTTACAATCATTTTTTTGTCTATTATTACTCATTTCTTTACTACTCAACTATATTTTGTATTTTTTGAAGTTAAACTGCTTGTTAACTAAGCAGTTCGGAGTGATTTGTCTTGATTTATCGACAAGTTTGTAGTGCGTTGTTGCAAAGCCACCTATTCTGACCAGTGTTTCGGTGGAAAAAGTATTCTATAGAGCCGCGATGAATCGAGTCGAGTGTCCACATTAGTTGTTCTTTGCGATGTGAGTTTTGGAAGTGGTAACGAGTCGAATTGAGTGAATTGCCACACCGAAGGAATAAAGTAACGTCATGTAGCACTGCTGGTTTACATTGAACGATTCTAGTGACGACGGAATGATCACGTGGAAGTTTTCTAGGGCACAGATCTTGATTAATTGGCCGCAAAAATTATTTCTTACGATGGCAAATAACTTGAGGATATCGGCCTAGTATTAGCAGGCATATGGCAAAGTAATATTTCCGTCAACAACTTTAATTTGACCTTTGGATCAAAGGTCAATTATTTTGTTTCTTGTTGAAAAATATTATGCCGATTTCTTACACCATTCTCTACGCCAAGGTTCTGCCCAACCAATAAAATGATAAGGTTAAAACTTTAGAGAGCCCACTACGACATGGTGGTGAAAGTGCCTCCTAAAAGATGGACCGATCTCAACTTACCAGAACAGACCGATAGGATATCACAAGCGTTTCCAGAGATCGTAAACCGCATTATCAAATATCAAGCGTACAAGCAACAAGTGAGTAGTTGACATGGTCAGGCAGTTCTCCAGCATTTTTGTACGTCACATGTATCGAAAACATTCATAAAATTTCTAGCTGTTCGTTAATATGAAATATATGTGCGCTTAGATGTTTCTGATGCGTTACGCCGGTGTCGATAACGCACTGAGACAATTTGGAGCACATTCAGATGAGGCGAATCAGGCTATCGCAAATATCGATCAGTATATACATGAACTCCAGGTGGATTTTTACTTCAACTTCACTTCCATGATTCTTCACTAGTTTTCTGCTTATAGTTTTTATTTTACTTACCATAAAAAGCGCTATTTCCAAGATCTCATACTCTTATGTTAGCGTTGATAGTTGCATCAAATTTCCATGTTATGTAGTGCTGATCTCACATGCAATGTTCGACAATAGGTTCTCTCTTAATGAGCTAGAATTTCAGCAAAAACTTGAGGAGCATGATTTATTCACGTCCACAAACTTATTAGTGCTTTCTGACCATGGGTTGGCACAGATCGAAGAAGAAGAGCAATTCTATTTGGAGGAGTGCCTTTCAGACTATTCCAAGGTACACTCACACAAAACTACTTCGTTCGGAACACCAGACCACTTTCGAAACCGCAGTTACCCTTTTCGCGGGTCACTTATTACCCACTGCACCACCGAGGTCATTGCTTAGTCCTTTCCTCGGCCAATTTTTTTCACCCCAGCAGTGTCAACGGGAATAAGGGTTGATTGCTCGTAGCATCGTTAGGGTAAAAAGCCAGAACAAAAGATGTCAAAAAAGCTCGTCGGTGGTGCAGTGGGTAACACGTGAACTCCCAGAAAGGGTAATCACAGGTTCTAATATGGTTTGAAAAGCCGAGTTTTGCGAATGTCTCAGCATCATTGTTGTTGTGCAGTACGAAAAAAAGCGATAGCCGACTAAGGTAGGAGGAGATTATTAACACATTCATGGCAACGCTAATATTTCAGTAGAGTGTCTGAGCTTGAAACTATAAAGATGTAATCTGCTTACAGAAATGAATTTGCGCTATCACTATAAAGGAATGAATAAATTACTTCACCTCGTATGAGGCAACGGTGACTCATACCTATATGAATGTTTCGGCAAAGTTTATTGTTTGCTGCGTTTCAGGTTGTGAAAGTTGTGAACATCCATTCCATGCTTATGGTTTTCACCGAACCACAGGACGAAGGACATGTATGTTCTGTCTAGAATTACCTTCTTTTTGCTTTTGAAATGCTTATTTTAGGAGCGATTTCAGTGACACTTCAATTCTGAACATAAATGGGGATCAGCTGATTCTATTATGTTTTTGCTTATACAGATCTATTGCAGTAGTTAACCTTTGCATATTTTCTATCCTAAAACGTTTTTATGCTTTAAAATGTAGTGTTTAAACAAAGCACTTTTCGTTTACTTTTGTTATATCTTTGTTTATAATCGTAGCAAAATCAGACTTGTTATAGGTTCATTTCGAATTGCGAGTATGTGATCAGTGGGCTCCTATGGGTGATTACGAAGATACGGACGCGTTGCTTGTCAAAGCATATAAGGTTGTTTCTAACAGTATAACTGTAGAACTTTACCAGAATTCATTCTATGTATGAATGATTTTGTTTAACTATGATGCCTGACGAAAAGTTCTTGGAGAAAGTAATATTCAGCTTTCGGAGGTTCCTGAACGACTTCACTGGGCTGATTCTAGATTCATGAGCGGTGTTATACTGCTTACGAAGCCGGGTACCAGTATTATTACGGTAACTTCTTTATTTCTTTATGGTCAAATTGCTTAACTTATGCGCAACCAACTGACGTAGCATAGGGAGGATAGTGACATGGAACAGTGTTTAGAGGTTTCCTGTTTTATGCATGTGGTCGTTCGTACAATCCTATTCCCCAGGCTCATTAAGCCTTCTATTCATACGGGGCTGGCAAATTGGTAGAGGACATGTCTGGAAGGATAAAACATTGACATAGTGCATCGATAGGTCATCCAAAGCATTCAAACAAATGGGATTCCATATAGCAAGACACAACAATATTCTTTAATGACCCCTATGTGTCTGCCTCATCCGTGCATTCACTGAACATTTTAGAATTTTAAAAGTTGCTTTCAATTTGCTGAAAATTTTAGCATCAAGCAACCTTAGAATTAAGAAATATTTCATAAAAACCAAGAAATCAAGAATTGCTGGAGCTAAGCCTGTGATGTTGTCGTTCTCATCATGGCGCTAAGAATGGAGAAATTAACACAGTTGATACCAGATTTTTCTGGGTTATAGCATCGATGACTTGAGAGATCGGTAAGTCATCGCGAGTATAAACCAGATATGCATTCAATCGCCTCTAGCGATGCGTAATGAAGTCAAATGCATGACACGTTTCTCAGAGATTGATCACCACCGAACGCTTTATCCTTTATCCTTTGTGAACTCCAGTGAGGCATATTTCGCTGCATCATGACGTCAAATTTGCCACCTAATCCAAACCCAAAAGAATTCGTGGTATGAACCCTACTGTGTACCTTGTTTTACGATATATAATAGTGTTTATCGGTTTTCTTATTTACTATTGGAAAATCCATTTATCGTGACCGTCACATTTCAATGTATAAGTAATTGTCAAGGAAATTAAATCGGTAGAAATGAGGAGGTGTTTAGAAAACAAAGTCTTGAGTGCATTAGTCATAGATTAAATGGCTTATCACAACATTAAACATACTTTCGATCCTGCTCTATCTTTTATTTGGCCCGTATTAATTTGTAGATCACGCGTCTTGTCAAGATTAATCCTCAACCTCTTTTTCGAACAAATGTCGATTTTTACTGGGTGAGAAGATCTTGCATTTGTACGCTAGGAAGATTCGATAACACCTGCCAAATCTCGTACTCTTTGAAACGTAGTGTAATCCTCAAGTATCCTTTGAAAAAATGTAAGCATAGTGCGTAGCGTAATTCTTCGTGGTGAACGACAGTGGTGCCCAATGCACCAGAAATGTGGTGATTGGCTCCGTGGAATGCAGTAGTACAAGCTAGCTATATTACGAATATACCGAATATTCACCCTTTCGAAATAGAATGCCCGACTTTATTAGACATCTGTCTACAATAATAAAGCTTGCTCTTTTACACCAGAAAGCCCAGCTAAAAGTAAACCAATGCCAAAATCCACCACCGTCCTGGTGACAAACTAGTTGCTTGGTGGCAAAGCTCCCTCTGACTCGTAAGGGCGGCGATTGTCTCTGATGGTGACTACACGGGGCAGAAATTGACCAGGCTGGCCTCCGGTTACAGAGAACCACAATGGCTAGACCGGAAAATCTCTGAAGAGTGGAAGTTATGCTAGGGCTAGTCTAACCAGTAAAGACGGACCATTCAACTATTATCCAGGTAAGTAAATAACGCCTGCACAGTAATAACGGAATGACTACACTAAAACATTCTAAGGTACAAGGCGGTAGTAGAATGAATACTTGATACTTGATAGTTGAATGGCCTGGCCTCACTGGTCGTGCGGGCCCCATCATAATTTCCATTTTTCGGAGATTTGCAGGCTAAGCCATTATGGTTCGCTGGAATCCCGAGGTCAACCTGGCCAAAGTATATTTCAAGTCTTTACCACCACAGGCAGTCGCAGCCGTTGTGAATCAGAAGGAGATTTGCCACCATGCGACTTTGATACCAGGATGGTGGTTGATCCTGGTATTGAGCTTCGGAGACCATGCCAGGGGATGAATCCTCCGCTGTACATCGCAGTCTGATGCCCAGGAACACCTCCCTGCCACGATGAGGCGGTAAACCTTTAGGAAAAACAAAATGAATAAGCGGGAAAAAGTGGTGAGTAAGGAGTGATATTGAAGATAAGATGGACGCTTATATGAGAAAGGGCAGTGGTTATTGATACCGTCAACAGAAAGCGAGGTGCTGGCTCAACCATCTACCAACGCCTTCCGCCAGCTAACGTGGAAACGCCTTAGTTTGCGTCTAGAACACCTTGGTTCGCCTATCTCCCAAGATTACAAGGAGAGTCGACTCGACCAGCATTCTACAATATTCGTAAATAAGGCGAAATCCTCATCCGGCAGCTGAAACATCACACAAAATGCTCGAAGGCCTTTGTGGCTTGTGAATGCGATGAAAACGAATTGAGTGCAAGAAGTCCTAAGATAGAACAGTAGATATGATGATGGGTAATCCCGATAAACATATTAATGGAGAGCTCGGTACTCGAATTTACATTCGTTGAATGAAGAGGCAAAAAGAAGATGGAGACTGTAGGAGCACTAATTGAGGAAATTGAAGAATGTCTGATATTTCTTATATTCCCTGGACAGAGTTTTAATAGAAGAAACCTCAAAAGGAGATTCTAGTAAGTTTCTCACTAGTGCTTGGCTGAACTGCTTCAAAGCATGACCTGATGCACGCGGAGAATAAAATCAGATGAGACGGTATCAAGGAAGCTTCATTGACATAAAAGTTCATCGAATAACGATGGATTAGCCCGTGAAAAAGTTTGTACAAATTTGATTGACATGGTTGGTTCTATATTCGGGAACGTGTTTAGTGAGGCAGAAATTGCTAAGTAGAGAGCGAAGTCTTATTACACTCTTATGTGTTAGTCATTCTATGCTACCTGGAATCGCCTCGATATCTGTGAACATCTTCGGATATTCCGTGCAAGTGCGCCTAATACTGGAGGATATTAGTTTTGTTTATGAGTGTCGCTGAACGCTGGTTGAGTCGATCCCTGTGGCAACCGTGCTTGCTGCTCAACAGGTCTTTATCGCAGACAGTCATCAGCTTTTGTGGAGTTGAGGGAGTTCTACCAAGACAAGTGAGGCACGAACTTTCCGATTCCGTAGGAATTGTGAGCTTGCTGAGCAGGTTGCTCGGTCGGTCATAGGATTTTCGCGTGCAAGGCGGCATCACTGCCACACAACTATTAGGTCCTCTATATGTTAGTTACTTTCTGTATAATTTTTAATACTTGTGTGGACTGTCACTGCGAATAGTTCTCCTTTCACATTTTTAGTTGGTTTTCCTATAACATTCATGGGTATCTTGCCTCTTCCTCCTACTATTTTTCGATACTTGGTGTTCCTTCATCCATTCGCATTTTCATAATATGTTATTCTAAGCAGTCATTTGATTGTTCTAAGACCTTTATTTCCGATTCATAACGCTATTTTATTAGGTTTATTAAAAAGAAAAAAATAAATAGAGGATTAAATTCCAAAGAAGATGGCAGTGGTTCACGGGAACAAATAATTTCCTTCAGCGAGAACTTCCATCGGTTCCTTCGCCGAGCGATCACTCTCGCGAAGCTAGACAGGCAAGTGGTTGGGATCCAGATGCGCCACAGATGAGAGGCATTTTTATGGCTAGGGGACCAGGTACAATAGAGGTCTTAACCAGATGCCTCGGTATAGTGGAAGGTAACCGCTGTTTCGTTTCAGCCTTCAAAGTCGATGAAAAAACTGGCCCCATTGAAATTGTCGATGTCTATCAGGTATGGTTACTGGTTCATACAATAAGTATTAATTTAGCACCTTTTTTTGTTGTAGACTCTACTAAACATTTTGGCTGTGGAACCATCGCATTCTCATAACGGAACATGGTCAAATGTGGAAGGAATGCTAGCAAGTGGTTGGGAAGAACGACCCAACAGCGATAATTTCGGTTATGCACCACGAATTTGTACTGTTTTTCCACTCATGATAATACCCTTCATGCTTTTCTACTGAAGAAACATCTACATTCAATGCTCTTGCGGTACATCATTTTGATTGCTTATCTAAAATAGCGTGATCACCTTCTATTTTCCTTTTTCGATTTCGGGAACATTTTTTATAGTGGTAATCATAGCATAGGTGGCGTAGGTGACACTGACACAAAGTGAATAGTGGGAAGCTGAAGCTGATTTAATATTGACTGATATTGCTTAAATTAGGGTACATGGGTACGACGGGTATATCGTAAAGTTGTAAGCCAGCATCTAGAGTGTTGAGTGCTCAAGCTACAAAATAGGGCAAATTTAAGTCGGACCTCATCGTCCTCAGGCCATCACGTACGTTTAATTTAGCTGCTCAAGCTGAGCCGAATTCACAACTCCGTTTATGCATTATTGCTATAAAAATTCCAAAATGAAAGCAATCTCAAAAATAACTCTAGGAATATCCTAGAACTGCCTACTGCTTTAAACAGCATCGTATCGACGTGTCATCACTCAAAATTCTCTCGCCTCTGAACACTATTTCTATTGAACGTTTTCTAGACGTGCCAAATTCTTATTCAATGCAAGCACCGCTACCTCAGTAGCGAGTACGGCTTCGAATGCTTTAAATTTTAGCCAATATTCCTATGTGATTTTTGTCCAATTGTACAATTTTGATGAAGTATAAACATATACTGATTTCTCCTTGCCTATGATATTATGACAGCTTTCTGTCCAAAAAAGAGTTTTAAAATGTTTTTCAGATTTCCTGTTCTCGTCCTACTTTCCATTTGTTCATTCATTCTGAATTCAATTCTTTCCTTATACAGTCAATTTTGGATGTGGTGAAATTCGAGCGTTTGACTCTTAGTATTTGAGTTCCTTGTTTTTCGAGTATTATAAAGGATAGAAAAGGATGAAGTGTTCGGAGCTGCTCAGTCCGCTATCGATGTGTGATGCATTCGACATTATTCGTCATTGTAAGTGTAACTGAATCCAGATTTGGTATATACAGTGGCTTGTGGCGCCCATCAGTCTACAACTTCAGTGTTTTTATCCTACCTTAGAGATATGAAGATGTTGGCCTCCAGGGGCGCAGCAGCACTGAATCGAATTGCGACCATCTAGGTATTGCAGAGCACATCTAACCACTGGTGCAAGCGACCATGGAAGTACTATAGTTGCCGTGCTAGTTGATATTAAAGAAAAGAAACTTTTATTTATGGTAAGAATTTTAAGCAATAGGAATTGCATTCCATTAACAAGAGAATAGTCGTATAATGTTAGATAAAACTTGTTTCTAGAACAGGCCTAGAAGATGTGAAGTCCAACGTTAGAGCAGTAGATGAGATTCCACTTGACTCCACCGACGTTTGTTCGCGTGTGCAGTCGTGTTACTTCTTTTCTTTCCACCGAATTCTGTTTTAAAAAAAGTAGTCATTCCAATGTAACACACGACAAGATCTTCTTTTAAAAACACTCTGTTAATACTTAACTCATATTTGGTAGTATTAATAGCAACCACGACAGCTTGAAATTTGAAATTCAGCTGTGAAATTGTATAAATGCTCAGTATAAGGATGTGTTTTCAACTTGTAAATTCTAAGAATTAGAATGGAATAAAGAAGAAATTTGCCGAAGAGGACCATAGCCCAAAATACGAAAATGCCCTTCAGATTCCAATTAAAGAAAAACCAGTGTTTGTTGATCTTGGTATTCCGGCTATAGAATGTGGTGTGTGGTTAGGCGTTGTTAAATCAGAGCTAATAAAAGGGTAGAGAAGAAACTCGGCGTCGATCAGTCCCTTATGGAAACATCATTAGGCATGATGTGAATGAACACATATTTAGCTTACACACTAACTCACAGTAGTTTACCAATGTATCGAATTAATGCTGCTTTCCTCCCATACAGGTCTGGTACCAATTTGGCGACTCCTGAGGGAGGGAAGACACGGTAATCCCGTGGCGCGGGATCGATCTCATGTGTATTACAGGACGCCTTTAACCAATACGAATCCCTCTAATATATCTAAAATCTAAATATTTGAGAATCTCCATAATAGTCCTCTTCATTAGTTTAATATTTTTACTTGATCTTTCCTTGTTTTGTTTTATTTTTTTTTTATTTTTTAATGGATGACACTGTTACCTCGATAATCTGTTCGGTAACATTATGGGCGCCTAGTCTAATGAACATTTTACACTGATCGCTGACGATATCCTTTGCTATTCCTGACAGCAACTGCCTGCAAATTAATAAGAGCATCCTCTCATTTCCAATTTTTTTGCTGCATGCGCTTCAAACCAACTTGAATATTTCTTCGTTATTGGCGTATAAAAGAAGAACACGGTTTTTGCAAAGCAGAGCGTATCCACATGGCCGTCCCTCGTCCAGTGCCAGCATACCAGTGATCTGAATACTGCTATACTATTGTTAACATTTGCTACTAGTACAGAGTATTACAATTCGAACCAAAGGTCTAAGTCTCAAAAAAATTGTAGAGCTCTTCAAAATTGACACATGAACAATTGCTTGATTAAGATTGAAATTCTCTTAGTCAAAGGATGAACTTTTAAAATATTACCCCAGGAGTTTGAATTAACGCTGTCACATGCTCGGAACGATCGTAAATTGACAGATCTGCATCGTAGTCAAGAACAGATACTAGGTTCCCCTTCGTAATGTTTACAATTACTATTGTACTGGTCGGATCACTCAGTGAGAGCAGATTCGATCTAAAATGAAGTCTTAAAAAATTGCTGGAATGTGGTAATTTTCAAGTCCCTATTCCATACCGGTGAACAAGAACCTCTTCAAGTCTGTGCTTGTCGGACACGATAAATCCAGCTACATCACGCCACTCTGCTACGACTTCCTGATGAGCTATGCTGAATATAAAAGAGTGATTTCGATGAATACGATCTTAAACCGCTTTTCATAAGCGAAATAAGACGAAATTTCTTCTTGACGGAGATTCTCGGAAAAAACAGATGCAGTGATTGATTTCACAAGAATAATTCACTCCTACGCAAATTTGGCACGTCAGCATGGTTAACCGTCATATGCCTTCTTTTTTACCGTTCATAGTCGGTAGTACCAGTTAAGCCATTAGAAGATGCTTGTGAAGAGTTTTAAGAATAGCTTTTACTATTAACCAGCTTACAAGAGATTGTTATGAAATGCTTATTCGGTTGCCGTCTCCACGACTTTGCCGTCTTTAGAGCTGATCCCAAACGATTGCACTCAACCGTTCGCCCTCATGACGTGGTTCTTCGTAGTCTTGCCGAGATAAATCCTCTGGAGTATAGCATCGCTCAGTTGGAAACCTCACTCGACAGTGTTCCATTTATAAAGGACGGTTGTTGCCGATTCTCTACTGGTAATGATTTAATTCAATAATAATTTAATCTACTCTGAAAAAGAAGAAGAAGAAGAAGAAGAAAAAGAAAAAGAAGAAAGAAACGCTGAAATATTAGCCGAATAAAAATTCCACAACCTTTCGCAAGCTTAGCAATCTTAAAAGATATTGATTATTCATATGAAAATTAATTAATGGCCGGTTCTGAAGCGTATTTTGAGAATGCCTTACCTATCAACATTCAGAAGATCTATCGTCATATTTTTGCTAAGATCCATATTCGTCCTTCCAACACTACAGTGAGTGAGTACATCAATGAGATGTACAAATGCTGATCTGAGATAAAAGGCTGGTGTAAGAGAAAATACAAAATTTTTACAACTGCATGGTACTGCGCATACTTTTATTTCTTCTATGTTTGCCTCTCAGCAAGCACACAAAGAAGTTCTACTTTTCTTCTCCTGTTTTACAAGATAGTAGACCAACAGGTAAAACACTGTCAGTACCTGCCCTTGTGATCAGCGAAAACTGTCTCGAACAGTGTTGGCGCCTTGTAGTCCATAATGTATGGAACACTACGAATAATCTATAACAGCACTTGATTAGGGTCATAATGCAGTGAATATTACCCGTATATGTCACTTACCTTATACACACACAATTCTTTCTTCTCACTGGGTGTCTCTTCGATCCATATTGTGTGACCTTTATATCCTTCAGCGACCACTCCAAGTACACAGTACGCCTAGAAGAACAAGAATGCATTCATTTTAAAAATAACGCACAAATTCCATGCAAGTTTTCAACTACGGATTACGAAGATTTTTGAAGCATCTACATCATTCACTTCGGTACCTCACTTTGTAAGATTACACATGGAAAACGTAACTAAATATGGTGAAAGTGGAACTTATGATTCCGTAGAAAAATTTTTTTCCAAAACGCTGACGCAGACTTTTCTTTTACCAAACTCTCACATTTGAATGCTTTAAAAATAACGACGTCCGAAAAGAATTGTGCAAAGAAAAGAAAGAAAATCTTAGCACAGGTTGAGTTCCAAGAATCACTTGGTCTTTGCTTATGTGACCCTTTTCTTTTTCATTAATGACCGATCTACAGTTGTTTACTCTCGCTTATTTAACTAGCATTCATGGAAAAATAAAAAAAAGTGGATCACCTGTTTTGGTGAATATACTGTCACGACACCACACGCGATTACCGTATCATTCTCGTCAACGATGACTGCAGTCACTGCAAGAGAATCTTGAGCGATAAAGGACACATTATTATTCATGGGAAGGAGTCCTCCGTCTAGAACATAGTTAGCGAGATTTTGTTCAGCCATTGAAGTAATTGTGGAATCAATGAGCATCTGCAACATTCAAATGCACTTTTCCTTCCTTTTTCGTTCATTTGTGCAACCCATAGAACACTCGAGAATGGTGAATCTTATCAGTGAGGCATTCACATCGAAGATCACAAGCAAACACCTCATGACCACACTATTTTTCTGCCAAAATCAAATAAAAGATTAGAACGATGTGTAATATAATACACATTCAATAGTTCAGTGCGTCAACGTAGTCGGACACGCTGCGATGTACTGCTGACGATGATCACGAAACAAGCTCTCTTAAATTGAGAGTCCGGCATGTCTATTTGGTAGCACAGCTAGAAAACTACGCGTCTAAAGAATAGCTCCCAACGACTCCTTGTGATCCGAGAAGGCGGATAATTCAAGCGCTTAAGCGTAAGAGATATATGAGATAAAAAATCAGGTGCAGCTATTCTGGCGCCGGAGATATTATGGAGATAAATGCGACGACTAATGCCTAACATTATGAACAAACCTTAAAGTGAATAGAAAACGATTGCTTGAATAACGATTTTAAACATGATTTTAAATATCATTATTCCATAAATAAATATGGTGTAAATATTCACAATTGCATACGGGAGGAAAATAGTACGAATTTTTGCTTCAAAAAATCTTCCGGTGCTTCAGTAAAACTGAAATTATATCCCAAATCATAAGAGAATTTATTTAGTCATACATGGCACATACTTTAAGTAGAAATGGTCCTGAAGGATTAGTTTCATTGCTATCGATAATAGATCTGTGTGACTCTAAGATGTAAGACCGTTTGAAATATTGAAATATAGTTGATAATAGTCAATGTTGGTCAGGTAAAAGGTAAATCTACTGCTAATTCAAGATGTATATCTTCTGGCGCGACTGTTCTACGATGCCGAGTGATGTTTTAATGCGACAAGGAGACGTGCACAATTGGGACAACTGTGGAAACGTCTTCAGATAGGCATCGAACCACCCGCACCTAAACACAATCGCCGAAAATCTTGTTGCCACGTCAAATAGGGCGTCCGTATATGAGAAAATAGAAGAATATATATACATATATATATTTAACATATATAATATATATTATATATTATATATATAATATATATTTACTTAGATGGTCTGTCCTCACTTGTTGTGCGGGCCATACCAAAATCTTACATAAATACAAATATATATATAAATATATATATAAATACGCTTTTATATACAATGTTTTCCAAGCAGATTAGATTCATTGGCTAGCGATAGATACATTAATGACAAAATGGAAAATATTGTTCAAAACGGACATAAGTCGAAATAATGACTTATTAACAAAATCTCAGCTATTGGTGAAAATGATTACGTAGTGGCTAGACGATGGGGACTATGAAAGCACAGCGCTGTTGAGACAGATGCTTAACGCTTAATATCGTAATTGTAATTCAGGAACAAAAAGAAATCCGCTGTCAAGGTATGCTCGGTAAGTTTATAGCACCAAAAGCACCAGAATTCACGACTTTGGAGAAATTTGATTCGATTTCATCGTATCCACCGTCGTATTTATGAAAACTAACTTAGATTAACGTGACAAACTAACTTGGATATTTAGACGGCTCGTATTTATAAAGGACTGCAGACCTCAACATATCGTTTTTTCACTCCTCTTTGCCACAGAATTTCCGCTCGTGATATCGGGGTGTTGTGAGCATAGCGATGTGTAAATTTCTCATTCCGTGCTCTAGAGTTCTGTTAAGGCTATGAGAATAAATGAATGCAAACCAAAAACACGTACATCAGTCTTCGAGATTGCCGCTGCTAGGGCACATATTCTCGGGTCTTCTTCCTATTTTAGAGGAGCCCCGTTATTTTATTCGTCTATGTATTACCAACTGCCTTCATGTTAGGTCTCAAAAACGAGAAATTTTTCAAAGATACGAAATATTGAAGCCCGGCTTAATGCTGCGTTCGTTTAGTGCTATGCATGAGATTACAGAGATGGATGAGGTGTAAATAATACTTAAAGAGATCGATAGAGAGAACTTAATCTACCGGTTAATCGTTTGGCCCACTAAACTATCCGACCACCCCATGATCCGTGAAGGTTTACTTCACAATTCCTTTCTCGAATAAATGAGCGTTCAGTTCTTAAATAAGAGTAGAATGTGGTCTTTGCAATCAGAGATGTGCCTCTTCTAATATTTTAGGCTAGCACTTGTTTCGGCACGCATTGACGGCAGGCTTACATGATCTTAGCTGTAGCAGCTGTATATGGTCTTCACTGCAATAACTCTATCTGAATTCTGTGTGCTCAGCCCATAACACACAGCGTCCGTTGCATGTGCGAGAAAACACTTTTACTGAAAAACTTGTAGAGCGCATTCAGTGAGGAAAACTGGAGGTAGCTGCGAAAAGTGCTTCGTTCAGCTTTCTTGGGTAGCATCACAGTATTCAATGATGTAAATCCTACAGTTTTTGTGACATGATCCACCAGTAGTGCTTTCTTATTTGGTGGTTTCTTCCTTTCCTTTTCCTTTTTTTTCTGGAAGAATATTTAGTCATGAAATAGCTGTGGCTCGAGTTTTCGGACTGGAGAATTAAGTCGTATTCGGCAAAACTCTGGTGCACTTCAACAAGCAGCTCTAAGTTGGCTGTAGCTCCTTAACTGGTTCTCGTCACTAAAAGGAATGTTGACGTACGGAAGACGTTGATCACGTCCACTAGAGGAAGTTGGCACAACAAAAGTATCAACGGGTCATATTCTTCTGCTCGTGACAACACAAATAACCTTCTCATGAGTGGTCTCTCGAAATTGCTTCGTTTTGAAAAAGGAACCTGCAGATGTTTTTTGAGGCATCTTATGAAAACAAATAGAAATCCGGTAAAACGATTTCCAATCTCGTTTTGGTCTCCTGTTCCAAATTCCCGAACCTTCGTCCATCTTTGCTAGTGCTGCCTATATTGCTATTGAAGTCTCTGGAAACAAATTTACAGAAGCACATTACTTTGCGCATTCTTCCTTCCGTTTGATCACATCAGTTGCACCACCTGATCTCTATGAATTGGTGATGTCGATCTTTTTTTGATGCGGAAGTTAAAGACGCTAAATGCCCAGGCGAGATGATAAGATCTACTGACGAGTTAACATGATGAGTGATATGTGAACGTGCGAAAATACGTTACCGATATTTCATTAGAGAATTTTTCTCGGTGGATAACATGTTGTGCTTAAATGATATGTATCTGCATTCCCGCTTCTCGTCTAACATAGAGCGGCTGAATATAATTTGATACGGCCTTACAACTTCGTGAAGAGTGTGAGTGTCGACGCCTGAATGACCCATTCCGATTTTCCAGCTGCAATATAAGGAGCAGTTTTCACGACTTGTAGTCGACGTGCTGTTTTTATCCGGTTCGAAGAATGTCGTATACAACCTAAGATTAGATCTCCTCTCACGGGCCGTTTCAGCGACCGAGACTAGAGACAAAAACGTCCATTACTTTAGAAGGCTACGAGGGTGGTTCATAGCTGCTTAAGCTTGTTTTCGGTGGTTCCCTAAGATAGTCTTTCCAACGTGTCTTCATGGCAACACTAACGGTACTGTTCAGCTCTTATGGATTTGAAGATAGTTCCCACCTTGTGACTACTTTGCTAGGTAAGTTCTCAGCTTCATTCTCAGCTCAGCAGATCTGTGTGGGAATAAGTGACCTGCTGTATTTTGTAGTTTATCATTAAAAAATGCTCCGATGATGATGGAGAGCAAACCATGGGAGCACAGCGCGGTAAGAATTGATCGTTAAAAATTTGAACAAACACTAACTCTGATGTCCGGCATTCTGTTAACCTCAACGTTGTTCAAAATTTCAGTGTTTCTTTTAAGCAGGTATGTGGCTGTCAATGACAGATTTATTGAATAATGGCAGACCCCGGAAAGAACAAACTGACTCACAGTTTACTAAGGCAAATACATTTACAACCGCAGCAAAAAAAATCCTATACACGAATTTCACTCGCATAGTAAACACTATTTTTTGAAAAATCAGCATTTTACTCTTCACAAATCTCCGAGTTATTGATGGAGATGTTCCCGCAAGGATCTCCCTCACATGAGGCGTCTCGAGCCGGTTAATCGCGAAGCTACGTGGCGTGTCCCCAGGTGGAGGCTAGGGGGTTAATCGCGGACCAGAAGCGACCCTTGCTTTCCTAACACGCAGGTTGATCCAAGGGATGGACTTACTGTTTCTACTGCGCCGATTTGGCACATACATTCTGTATTTGCTAGGCATATTCATGCATGCGTATGTGGGTGCGTTCTTGCTTATGCCGATTGTATTCTACGAGTCAATTCGGCCAAAAGCCTGCAACCTAGTGATTAGGAAGTATATGGGAGACGGTTAGGAGTCGCCTCCAACAAACAAGCTCCATGTCCACTCTGGGAGAGCCTGGCAAGCTATCCGTAAGTACACCCAGCTCCCACGTTAACAGCCCAGCAAGCTATACGTGGTCATCAAAATGCTAAACACAGTAAAGAAAAAACGGGCCTCATTCCTCCGACCACGAAAGAGCCCCCAATTTCGCAGCGTTGGCTAGGACGGAAACGGAGAGGCTGCTAAAACATCAGGGCCACTGGAAGAAGTTGCCTGGATTACAAAGAACTATGGTGACGATCTATAACTACAATGCACGTACACTTGCATCCGAATCCTCGGTAAAAGACTTGCTCATGCTAGCAAGAAGGATAAAGCACGACGCCATCAGCCTGGTCGCGAAACGAGAGGACGCCAGCCTTTCAACGACGTCTATGAGACCGGAGAAGAACTGTTCCTGGGAACATGCGACAGTGAGGAATGGGTGGCGTCGGCGTTCTCGTCAACACGAGTTTTTCCATCAACATCGATTCATTCGAACAACTTACAACCCGAATCGGACGTTTACGATTAAGAAGACGTGGATCAATTCCGGCTTTGACAATGTTCGTCGTTTACGCACCGACATCAAACTATGACAAAGAAGTCGAAGCGTTCTATAT